GCAGTGCAGGCCTGCAGCACACACAGTGCTCACTCAGGAGCTCCTCATTCTAGGCATCCTTGCTGCCTGAGTGATTTGGAAGTGGAAAGCCAAGCTGAGCAGGCTGCAGGCTTCACACACTTCTATTCTCAGCCTAATCCATGAGCTATATTGATCCTGCCCTTTCTGCCAACCTGGAGAGGTTGCATTACACTGCTAATCCCATCCTGCCCAGGTCACAGGCATGACAGGCTCTGAAAAGCTTCACCTGCTGGTGTCACAGGAGCAGACTCCTCAATGGCAGCACTGCTCTCACCCCTCTTGGCAGGGAGCAGCCTGTTTCTCTGAACCCTTTGCCCTCTCTCCCTGGACTGTACATTCCTTCCAGCTTCATTTCATCTCACATTGCCATGCAGAGCAGGCTTTGCTGTCAGCACATGGAAATCCTGGTTGGATCACTGACACAGAGGGCTCTTACAGTGCCCTTCTTTGTGGGGACCTGGGTGCCACCACTTCACCTGATCTGACCAAGGAGGACCCAGCTGGTCAGAGCCATCCACACTGAAATCACTTGCCATGGTTGTGAGTCCTTACTGCTGAGCTTTGGGGAACAAAGGGGTGCGATTGCTGCATGAATTAATATTTCTCAGGGAAAGAAATTGAGGAAAGGGAGAACACATTTGGTTAACAGAGCAGCTCAAGCTTCAGAGAGTGGTGCCAGGTGTCTCCTCCCATCACCGTGAGTAGGAATTGATGTGGCATTGACAGAGTCCATTAAAGCCATCCAGGAAAGGAAAGATCCATTGTCCTGTGGTTGAAAAGCAAAGAGGTGCCATTGGGAATGCTGACAATAGGAGCAGCACTGTACTAATTCTTCCCTCTGAAAATACCCCAGCAGCAGCCCAGAGGATCTCTGCAGTGGAAGGGGAAGAATGATTCCCTCACTCATAGCCCATCACAGTTTCCTTCTAAGTTTGCTATTTGGAAACAAGAAATGTCTCCAAGCGGGATTAAAGGAGTGTCAGGGCACTTGTGTGAGCGACTGCAGCACTTGTGCCTGCAGAGCATCCCTTGGGAGAGCAACTGGAACTGATGGCAGCCGAGCAGCTCTGCCTGTCCCGTGTCCTTGTGAGCGGGACAGGGGCTCAGGTTCGCGGGCAGGAAGTGTCGGGGCCGTGCCGGTCCCACAGCCCCGCATTCCCGCACGTCCCAGCAGCTGCTCCGTGAGCCCGCGGGGCCGGGGCTGCGGCAGTGGGGACACGGCAATGGGGACATGGCACTGGGGACACGGCAGTGGGGTCCACGGCAGTGGGGACACGGCAGTGGGGACATAGCAATGGGGACATGACAGTGGGGACACGGCAGTGGGGACTCGACAGTGAAGACAGCAGTGGTGACACGGCAATGGGGACACGGCAATGGGGACATGGCAATGGGGACACGGCAGTGGGGACACAGCAGTGGGGACACGGCAGTGAAGACAGCAGTGGGGACACTGCAGTGGGGACACGGCAGTGGGGACACGGCAGTGGGGACACGGCAGGGACAGGAGGTGCTGAAGGGATGCTCTCCCGCTCTCCGGGTCCCCTCCCCGGCGGACGCCGCCACCTCCCGGCAGCTCCCGAGCACCGCCCGCCGCTTCCAGCTGGGATTTTCCGCCGCTTCCCGGCACTGCACGGTCCCGTGGAAACTCCCGTGATTGCTCTTGAGGGCTCTACCCCTGGCCACTGCTGCCCACAGCAGGACAAAGCCACTCGTGTGGGTGCTCTGTGTGACCTGCTGGGGAATCGGGTCCCAATGTCCCGTGTCCCCTTCAATGGAACGGGAGCCCGGCCCTGGAGCCTCTGTGGTTCTGAGAGGAAGAGTTAACCAGTCTTGCTTTGGAAACTGGGAGAGGCTGTTCAAAAGTTGGACAACACCCTTGGAGAAAAGAAAAAAAGGAATTGAAAGATCCTGGAGATGTCCCAGAGGGAGTCCATGAGAACTCTGTTCTGTCTCTTCTGTGTAATTTCACTGTTTCAGGGCTCACTGAAGGAAATCTCATTGCAAATCGAATTGCGTCTCTGACCACCTGTGTAAACTGTGTCTTTGGCCTCTTGTGTCAAACTTGAATACAATGTGGGAAGTGTGGAACATAATCACAGCAGCTTCCAAGCCAAGGAAATCCCAAAGCAGCTCCCTTGAGAGCTACAGGCTCTTAATGGGACCATCAGTAGCTCTGAACTCATCAGTGAAGACAATTTAACCATGGTAAAAAAAAAAAAAAAAAAAAAAAAAAAGCAATTAACTTTTGAGTTCAAAGGGATCTTTAAAACAGAAAAAAAACCCTTCAACATCAGCAGAATCTTGAAACATGTTACCTTCATCTGCTTCATCACAAACATCTGAACAATGAATTCAGGAACTCTGTTAAAGTGTAACTGCCTGCCTGAGTTAATATTTGATTCCTGAGGCTTGTAAATATTTATTCTGTAGCTAAGAATTGGAATAGAAAGATGAAATTTCATTTTGGTAGCTGAACCAGAATCTACTGTTTTAAAAATCCATTACATGATATATTGTCAGCATTCAGGGAATTATCTGCACCTATTTTTTTGAACCTAATTAAGCAGGAAGAATTTAAATTATAAGCAAAAAAACCCACTCAGTTTTGGCATATTCAAAGCTAGCTTTGCTTTCCACAAGCTGTTACAGAACAAGAACCAGTACAAAGGGTCACATACAGAATATGTGGTCATAGATGTGCACTGGGCACAAAGAAATCCTGGTAGGAGCATCAGAAATTGTTCTCCTTTCACACAGAAAAGATTCCCAAGGCCAGCAGCACAGGGAAGCTGCAAAAAGCTGCTGAACCTGGAGAAAAGGGCTTTACAAGAATGCTGTTGTTTTGAAATATTTATTCTCTTTCTCTGTGTAGGGTGCCGTGTGCTGGTGCTGGAATCAGTAAATCTCTGCAGGAAGTACATTTCCTTCCTGGATGTCCTCATTTCCTGCCTCCTGCCCAGGGATGCACTCTTCATCCTCACAGAGGAGGAGACTGAACAAGCCAAGGTGAGATGTGTGGCACCTGCCTGACCTGTTTGAGTGGCTCGTGGTCATTGTGAGCACTTCAGTCACAAGTGTCACATTCCCAGGGAATGCCAGAAGTAGTTGTATCCATAGGTTATAAATGTCACTGAGGAATGTCTGCAGCGATTTTAAAAACATGGACAGGCCAGGTTACCTCATGTGCTGCATGACAGGACAGGGCTGAGCAGATCTGCAGCTCAGTCAGTCACAGGGTACTGAGGTTTACACTCTCCAGGATGTAGGATGTATTTCAAAAGATGCATTTCAAAGGAAACCGGATCCAACACAGTATTCTGAACATGTGAATGGCCTGTTAAAGCCTGGCATGACTGCATGCCAGGAACAGCATCCTTGGATCACAGCTCTCACTAAAGATGGAGACAGCCTATGAACTTGTGGTCCAAATCTCTTCACAAGTTCCCTTTACTATATATTTTTAAACTATTTTGCTGCATAGGATCTCACACATTTACCCCACAGTTCCCTATATCAGAATCTGATTAGCTCGCCTTCCATAGCATGAAATTATTTACCCAGCAAACAGTGCTGTTAATTCACAAATTACAGGCTTTTCCTGCTTCTGAGGCTGTTAAAAGATAGAGTTATTTATGGAAACAGCTTGGATAAAGGCAGTGGTCATTATTCCCATGTATTTTTGTTCCTGAAATCTGACCTTTCTAGGCTGGTACACTATAAATAGACTCAGTTGCAGCTGGCAGTGTGGTCAGAAGGAGCAGAGATGTTCCCAAACACACCTATTAGGCTCCTGCTTCCCAGCTTGTGAGCACTTCCCCAGGCCTGAGATCACGTGGGGAGGAGGAATTAGAAGTGACACATGAAGTGTCCTTTGGTGCAGGACCCTCTGAACATCTGGCAGCACAACACCAGGCTCGGGGGCAGACAGGCCCAGAGCTTAGGCAGCTTCCCACCTCCCCTGCCTCTCCCTGCTCACTGAAAACAGGCTGCCCTATAAATGGGCCCTGACCCTCACAGCAGGAGCAGGAAACCGCCCTCACATCAGCTCTGCAAGGTTCTTGTAATGCTCTCTGCACTGCTTTTCCTCCTAGAGAGCCATGAGGTGCCATCGCAGCCAACTCCTCTGGTTCCGCCAGCTCTACCTGCTCTTCTCTCGTTACCTGGTGGTCAATTCACTGCGCCTGCTCTGACAGGACATCACTCACAGCGGTAAAGAATGAGCAAAAAAACAACTGTGCCAGGCCCAGGACTCGAGAAAGCTCCTTTCTTAGGTGCTCAACAGGATGGGGTGCTCTTTGTGTGGCATTCTCCACACTACAAAACCCAGGATGGGTGAAGTTCCTTCTTGTTTCCTGATACATTGAGAACAGGATTAACAGCTACTCTATTTTCTCAACATAGAAGCTTAAATAAGATGAGAAATTTGGATTGGCTTTAATTGGGAGTCAAGCCCTGGAGGATTCTGCATTGAAGAAGATATGGCACAAACTGTTTCCCCAGGAAAAGGGAGCTGCAAGGACTGCTTGGCAACTCTCCCTTGGTGCTTTTGTAAAATCCAGATATCAAGAGTAGCTTTTCCAAGACCATGCTATCTCCACAGATACCACAACCACAACATCTTTGTTATTCAGTCAGAACTTAAAATAGCCAAAGCTTTTGAATAAAACATCAGAAATAATGTAATTTTTTGTAATTGCACGGATGTTTGCTGTTGCTTCTTTTATACACATTGTGTTGTAGGTTCCACCTTGACATTGTCCCTCCTGAAATATGAGCTCTATTCTTGATTCAGAATAGGGCTCAAGATCAACTCACAAGAGTCTCAGCAGGACACAGGAATGAGGTGCAAGTGACTGTATGAGGTCTTTTGTATTGTGATTTGAACTTTAGCACAGCTAAAGGCAAAGTGCCAAACTAGCAACCCTGCAGTGAATTCCAGAGCAGAGGCAGTTTGAAAATTGAACGTCACAAAGGAATGAGACAATCAGGATAGAAAGATTTATTTAAGAAACTGAGAACAGGTAATAGTAGAGATTGATTTCACCATCACCCAGGAAACCCAGACTGCAGTTCCATGGCAGTGCTCCCAAGGCTGCTAGAAGGGTGTGTCAGGGTTTTGACATGTCTCTGATGGTTTTATGTTCCTTCACTGCTTTCTCCCATTCCTTGCCATTGATATCCTCTGTGATAATGGTCTGCACTGTGCCATCATCCAGACAGTGGGGAGCTATTCCTGAAGAAAGACAGAGTACACAGAAACCTGCTTTTCATAAAATGTGGGAGATGCCTGCTCCATTCTATGGCTGAGCATCTCAGGGAATTGTCAATGCTGTTGCTGTAAGGCTGAGGAGCCTGGATGAGAATCCTGTCACAGACAGCAGCCCACACATTATAGGTAAGATTGGTTTTTTATGAAGGAGCTACAGGTTCAGACTGCAGTTCCAGGTGTTTATTAACACTTTCAGAACAAACTCTTAGGACACATGCTGCTCACTGCTGTCATGTCAGCATTCAATGGAGCCTTTATTTAAAGTTTGCTTGGTGGTTAACTCTGGTTAGCACAGCTTGCTTTGTACCTACCATAACCATCAGGGTTAGAACGAGGAGTATAAAAGCTCTGAACACCACAGGTCTTGCAGAACGTGTGCTGGGCACGGTGTGTGTTGAAGGTGTATGTTGTCAAATTGTCAGCACCCTAAGCAAAGGAAAAGCACTGTAAGTTTTCCATGGAAATAGATGGATTAATTACTTTGGGCCTGTAGCTAAAAAATGTACAATTTAAAATGCCATCTTGCTGTCTTTATCTGAGATACAGAACTGTGCTTTCCTGCTCCTTTCCTGAATCCCTGTGCTTTGTACGTACAAGTGTCCATAACAGTCAGGCCTGGGAACTGCAAGAGCTCTAAACAAGATGCACTAACACAACCACACCAAACAGCTTAAAATGCAGCCATTTCCCCCAACCAACCAAACTTAGGGTAGAAAATTGCTTGTTCTTGGCTCTTTGAGGGTAACACTGCTTATGCTCATGGCCATGCTCTTACTGTGTTCTTACTCTACCTTTAGCAGCTTGAAACGCGACGCTGGCACAATGAAATGTCTGTTCTGTTTCTTTGTGCAAATGCTGCAACTGTAAAAGAAAAAGGAGACCTTTCTAGAAGTGGACAGGTTGTAGAGCAGCAATCATATTTCTTGACAACAGAAATTCCACTGACAGCTAGAATGGCTCAGAGGTAAGTGGCAAAAGTGGTGTCAGTAGTGTTTGGCTGAGCACACCCGTGAACAGACTGACCCCACACAGGTACCCCAGTAAGATATTCTCACACACAACTCTTGAGGACAAATTTTAGCCCTAAGAAATCCACTTAAAGGTTCAGAGCACGCTTGGGCAATTTTGTCAACATTCATTACCCTGCAAAAAAGAAAGTTAAGTTCAGAAGTTCACCCATGAGCTGGAAGCAAAAGGGTTGCAGGAAAAGAGGGGTCACTACTGAAACCAGAGAGTGTTTTAGTTTGAGGCACATGTGGTCAGAGCTGTAATGTCACTTGAGAACAAGAAGTTAAAAAAAGACCAATGTGCTTTGAGCCCCTGCATGAGAGGAAACAGAAAGCAGGTGGCTGAGCACCTGGACTCAGATCTCTCCTGACACTTTCTGTGTGAGCCCGGCTGTGAGACATGAAGTCCTGTCCAAAGTAGCACCTGAAATCACCAACACTGATCTTCTAGTCGATCAGGACATAATTAGGGGTAAATCCTATGGAAACAGCTCAGAGGGTATTCTGCAGCTGTCTCATCTTTAGCTGTGAGGCTGGAAGAGCAGAGAGCTGACATTCATCTCTAGGAACAGGGAACAAACCAACTCACTTGCAGTTAAACACGTGCAGATCTGCTGAAGCCCAGACCTCAAAGCGGACGGCTCCACAGTGACAGCCTCCAGTGTGCTTCACCAAACCCCTGTATTCACTGGGGAGAGACACAACAGAGCTTTTGGGATCATCCTCTCTTGTTTTTTGCCCAAGAAAACAGTAAGGTTATACATGACATTATTCAGTTCTGTCTTGACTTGTTGCAGAACACCAAGAAATGTATGCACTCAAATGTATTTAATAACATGTGTCAGAATGAGGTAGAGGATGGCTTTTGTCCTCTGCAGCAATTGCTTTTGTGGTTTAATTAAAAGGGTGAAAAGGAAAGAAGAGCACCACTTTGAGGACTCTCCACTCTGTACAACTCAGCTCCCCAGCACACTCCAGGTCACACTGCTGACCCTACAGCTGTGTCCATACACAACCCTACACAGAAACCAGGGCTATCTCAAAACAAACTGCTTGGAACTGAGAACTGAATTTCCCCACAATTTTCCCCACAGTTCCTCCAACACCATTAATATCCCTGCATTTAAAAGCTGGGGAAAACAGAGATAAATGGATTCTACATAATATTTGAAATGTCTTTTATTTTGGGTTGTATTTGCAGAGGAACTTTATGACCAAGGAATTTCTGAGCCAGTGCTTGTCCCCCTCCCCGAGCCGCCTCCACAGCAGCTGGGCAGTCACCGTGCAGGTCAATCGCAAAATGCAAAGGAAAAAAAATTTTCCTTCCAGAATTTGCCTCCCACGGACAGTTTCTGATGCGCCGCGCTCTGCACAGAGCGAGCACAGGAAATGGGTGGAGATTTAGAAGCTGAGCCCCGCGGAGCCCTCAAGGGCATTTTCCATGGGAGACCCGTAAAACACGGGAAGCTTTAGCACAGAAAACCACTTGCTTTTTTTTTTTTTTTTTTTTTTTTCTCCCCGTGGTGCGTGCGTCCCCTCCCCATTCCACGCGCGGTCCCCGTTCCCGGCAGCTGCCGGGCCCCGCAGTGCAGATGCCGCGCACAGAACGCTGCCATTAACGGGGCCGGGGCGGGAGCGCGGAGCAGCCGCGGCCCCGTTACTCACTACGCGTCCAGCAGCAGCCGCGCCGCCTCCTCGCAGCTCAGCCGGTGCCGCTCCTGGAAGGCGGCCCAGCGCCCGCTCTGCGCCCCCAGATCGATGGCGCTGGGCCCGGGGGGTTCCGCCTTGGCCCCGTCCGGGGTTGCCCCCGCATTCCTGCCCCGGGCCCGGCGCGTCCCGCCCGCGGCCGCGCTGCCCCGCCGGGAGCGCCGCGCGCCGCCCGCCGCGCCGCGCCCCATGCGCCGCCTCCGCCGCCGCCACCGGGGGGCGCCACCGCGACGCGCACGGCCCGGGGGCGGAACGGAGACACCGGGGGGACACGGGAGGGGACACGGGAGGGGACACGGGAGGGGACACGGGAGGGGACACGGGAGGGACTGAAGGGACACGGGAGAGGACACGGGAGGGACTGAAGGGACACGGTGGCACCTGGGAGGGACAGGGGAGGGGCCGGGGTGCAACGCGGGGAGCGCGCACTGAAGGAATCTTTTCCTTATATCCAACCTAAAGCTCTCGTGGCACAGCTTGAGGCCGTGTCCTCTCATCCTTCCGTGTTACCTGGGCAAGGGAACGATCCCAGCTCGGCACAGGGAGCTGTAGGGAGGGGGAAGGTCCCCCCTTAGCTCCCCTTTCTCCAGGCTGAGCCCCCCCCAGCTCCACTCCTGCTGCTCCAGCCCTTCCCAGCTCCGTTCCCTTCTCTGGACACGCTCCAGCCTCTCCGTGTCCCCCTTCCCGTGCCGGGCCCAAAGCTGAGCCCAGGATTCGAGGTGTGGCCTCAGCACAGGGACAGTCACTGCCCTGGGCCTGCTGGCCACCCTATGGCACCCGAACAGGCTGCCCAAGAGAGTGCTTGAGCCACCAGCCCTGGAAGTGTCCAAGAAATGCTGGATGTGGCACCTGGGGACATGGTTCAGTGCTGGACTTGGGTTAACAGTTGCACTTGATGATCTTAGAAGTTTTTTTCCAGCCTTAAGGATTCTATGATTTTCTGATTCCAGGGATGCCAGTTATCCACAGGCACGAGCCCGAGGTTTTCCCTGTCATTCTGAACACGATGCCTCACATATTCAGGGATGGGAAGGTGCTCAGCAGACCCGAGGTGCTGCTGGAATTGTGGTGTGTCACTTGTCGGCTATGAACAGCCCTCATTTAGACACAGCATTGCTGTGACTGCACAGGATGTGCCTTTGGAAGCGTGTTCAGGACTTCCTGAGGTTTGCAGTCATTGTGGCAGCTTCGCAGAGAAATGGCTTCTAACAGCATTCCCATTAGCTTTTCACTAATTCTGTTACCAACTGAAAATAAGACCTTAAATAATACCTTAAAAAGCAAAAAAAACCCCCAAAACCAAAAAACAAACAAAACCCCACCAAACCAAAACCAAACAACAGCAACAACAAAAAAACACCCCAAAGCCAAAACAATCAACCAAATAAGCAACAGCAGCAAAAAAATAGGAAAATGTGAAATCTCCCCTTTAGTATAAATATCTTACAAAAGGTTATTTTTGAACACTGAAATCCGATGCTGTTTCTCAAGTAAAACTATCAATGCAGGGGAAAGTAACAAAACTTGGAGGTATCCAAGTCACACTTGGTTGGGGAAAAAAAACAATCACTCCAATGACAAATCTTTGTGCCCAGTGTTGCAGGACTGGAAACTTCTTTTGTTTGACATATAATCGAGAATCTGTAATCAACAGGACTTAATGTCTCGCTCTTTCCAAGAAAGGGGAAGATGTAAACAAGTGAGCTGAGTCTTGAGAGGCAAAGAGCCAGGAAAATGGCAAAGCAAGAGGGCAGTGAGGAATAAACATCCTTCAGCACTCTGGTCTGGAAAAGAGATTTAAAAATATGTGACTCCAGTGTTCAGGCTGCCTCCCGAGATGGCACATGCCCGCATTTGCATAAGAATCCTGTGGCTCAGCACCTCTCTGATGATAGGAAAGGGCACCGAGTTACAATTTCCTGTTATCCCTTAGTCGAACCTCTGCTCTGGTTACTCATTCTAATGGAAGCACGAGAATACAACCTGCGTGACAAAGTCATCTGCAGCTCCCGGTCTGAGCCACTCCCAGACCTTTAGACAAACCAGATTGCATATCAGTCACCTCATATTTTGGGAGGAAAAAGTCACTGAGGTGAAACTGGAAAGGCACTGAAACTGAGCCTGTGCTGGCTGAGCAGGGATTTATCTCCCCTCGGGCACGGCCAGCAGCACTCACGGTCTGTCCTGTCCCAAAACCACTGAACTCAACACTCTGAAAGCCAGAGTGGAATTTTAGGGGCCCATTTTAAGGGCTAATTCCGTCGATTCACACAAATGTCCCTCTGTAAGACAGGAGCCATCAGCACTCGTACACACTCAAAAAGCAGTTCCAGGAGAAAACCGGAGTGAATTTGTCCATGTAATATCTGCAAATCTGTCACTCTCCGTGCCTCTCCACAATTAGTTCACTTTATTTTAAATGTAGAAGTTGTTTTAAGAAGCTAAATTCTGTTCCCCTGTGAAGTTTCTGGATAAAGAACTTGAGGACAAAAATGGAAGTGCAAAATGCCATAGTGAAGAAATTCTCTTTTTTCATTCGTTTCTTATTTTATCACGAAGGACTCAAAACACAAAACTGAGTCTCACATAAATAACCAACTCCAGAGCTTTACGGTGGAACTCTGAATAATGATAAATGTCACATATATTCTTAGCTGAAAGCCCTAAATTTCAGTAGTCAAATGTTGTATTGTCAGTGTACCTGGACAGCACCTTCCCAGTGCCCAGAGAGTTAACATCTCTCATTTCACTGCTTCCAAAACTGATGCAATGTTTGCCAGGCTTTAGGAGAGGCCAACAGCTTGATGAAAAATGCATTTGCTGTTAAGCTTAAGAGGCAAAATGGAAAAGGAAGAATTATCCAGACTGATGACGGGGTGGACAAAGTAAAATTACTGGAAAAGTCCAGTGAATTACAGTTGCTTCTGTGTAGGTGTCTTGTGATGCTCAAAGGCCAACAGCAACTGACGTGTTCAGTATTAAAGTACAAAGGGGCTTTTCTGTGCCATCTCAGCTCTGCTTGTATAACAATGACTCAGCTCTGCAGCCCTGGCTCACAGCCAGCATTGAAATTCTGCCTGGAAGAGCATTTTTATCCCTAAAGCAGCACTGAAAGCAGCTACATGTTTGTGGGTGAAAGAGAATTAGGAATTGTGGATGTTTTTTATAGCTAATAAGCAGGGAACTAGGAGTTGTGTACAGCTGACAGCACACTTAAAAAAACCTGAGGTGGATCAAAGTACGTGGTTTGTTCAAGGGAGAAAATGGCAGTGCTTGGATTTTAGTCTCCCTGTGGTGGAGGGGGAAACATTCCAGACGTTTTCCTGCCATCAAAGGACCCAAGCTGGATCTGAAAACAAAACGCAGGAGGTGACACCCCCGGGCTGTTCAGAACGGCCTTGACAGTGTTTGTTTTTGTTCACTCTTACAGACGTTCTGTTGAACATGCAAACAATGATTAACAGCGGTTTAGGACTCGTTTCTTCTGCCTGTTTCTTCTGCCATTTCTTCTTCTGTCTGCCTTGTTTTTCAAGGAACTTCTTTGCTGTTTTGCGGGAAAAGCTCGGCCCAGAGACACAAGCTCAGTGTGCTGAGAGGCAGCAGAGAGGAGGTGAACAAAGCAGCTCCCTCCCTGCACTGCAGCTTGGATCGCATCCAAAACATTCCCGGGCAGCAGGCAGAGCGGGACATGCACACAAGGAGCTTTAGAACAGAGTTATTAGAGTTATTAGCAGTTGCTTTCACTGGCACACACGCAGGCACAAACGTGTGATTTCAGCCCTTTATAAAATGCCCTTTGCACGTCTCCTTCCAGCAGAGCACAGGGAGCTGTCACATGTCCCTCTGGGTCACCCAGCCTGTTTATCGTGGCAGCACAGATCTGAAAGCTGAATCCCATCTGTCCTACAAAGTTAAAATACGCTTTAGATAAACAGGGAGACAGAGGACTATCACTAATTTTCATCTTTTTACTACCAATCTGTTTTTCTTAATTTTTTTTTCCTTCAGCTCCTGAAGTTGGTGGCTTCTTAAAAACTTTGTTTAGTGAAGGTATTTTTAGCATAAGGCTATAAAAACAAAACCGAGGGAGTTGTCTTTTTTTGGTAATCTCAGAATATCACAGCCAATCTCACAGTACTTTGAATTCTGACTCACTATTTGTGTAACCCTCCAGGCTGGCAGCACAGGGACAAGCAGTGACATGCCACGGGTCTGTTTGTCTCGTGGGTGGAACCCGAGCCAAGCCTGGATCTTACTGCACTGCTACAGGCTTGGGGAAATTATATTTATCTCCACAACTGCAAACATGTAAATAGAATGAGACATACCTATAAATATAATATAAAATATACTGCATCATACACACTGAGAGGCAGGTGTGAGTAATGTTATGAGATAGGAATACATAGATTTTTTTTTTTTCCTTGTGGCAAGCAGCCCTATTTTTGTCTGGACAAAGAACAGTAATTGGACTTGCACACACCCTGTGATGGCCTGGCTGGCTGTCCCAAGTTAAACCTGGTAGCTAAAGATAAACAGATTGCTTCATGTAAAAGTGATGCCTCGTTGCTAGGACCTTAAAACCAGACCCAGTTTGTGTTCCAGAATGTACAGATTCGTTGGAAACATTTCCCTGACCCCAGATTCTTCTCTCCTGAAAGTAGGTTGCTCTGTACTACTGCCCAGTGACCTAGTTTTGAAAAGAAATGTGTGTTCCCAACTGCAGGCCCCGTGCCCTGGCAAAGGCTGTAGCCACCTGTGCAGTCAGAGCAGTCACAAGATACAGATTTCTGGGTTTTTCAGCTTTGCATTTATTTATATACAGCTCAGAGTCAGCTGCTCAACGAGTGTTATTCACCAAGAGCTACCAGAGGGAGAGTGTAATGTTTGTTAAAAGCATGTGCTTTGTTCAGCCAAAACAGTTCCCCCACCATAGATTTAGTCATATTAAGGGAAAAAAAAACAAGGGGGGGCTCCTGTGCTTTCTGGTTTACACAGAAAGGAAAAAAAAATTACAGAAATTTCTCCTTCTCCATCTACAGGAACATTAAAAAGAGAAATATGCACCCTAAAATCCTTAATAAATGTGTGATGTGCTTTAACACTGCCCAGGCTTTACATCAATCTCCATCTTTACAGATGTGGCCTTTTATATTTTTAAATATTAGTCACTTGTGGCCTTTCCTCTGGGATGTGCAGCAAGCACAGGCCAGCCTTGGAGCAAAACTTCAGCCACTTGGCACCACCAAACAAAAGCCTTGCTGGAAACAGAGCAGAACTGGCAGCACAAAGCAAACCAATGGGACATTGCCCACTTCTACCTTTTGTCCTAAATTTATGTAGCCAAATAATATTTCCAAGGTTGGCTATTGCCATGGAGCTTTCTGAACTTTCCAGTTAACATTTTTCCCTCTTCCTGTTCTTGCATTTTGAGTAATTATTGTTAGGATGATTTATTTCCTTTTTACTGTAAACCAGGAGGTGCTAGAAACTCTGTTAGGAGAAAGGAAAGTAAAAGGATTTTGTTGTTGGGGTTTGTTTTTTTTAAATTTCTTTGGTGGTTTTGTATTTTTGTCTGGGTTTGAGGTTTTTTTTGGGGGAAATAGAGCAGCTCTGTAGTGAATCTTGCCAGTCACACACGTGCTGATGCTTTGTGAGTGGAGGATTTAACAAGGTCATCTGGCTTCACTGAAAGAGCAGCAGATAAAGCTGCTAAAAAAACACACTGAAACCATCTTGGATTTTGTGCACTCCATCTTTAATGTGATACAAAATGAGTTAAGAGCCAGTCTGAAAGGTATAATGAAGTTTAATTAACCCGAGGCACGTTTCTACATCAGTTCACAGAAGGTGGCTGCTTCATAACCGATCAAAGCTTCCTGTTCTGGAGGCGAGTAAACAACCATTTGAATTTCAAATGTCAGCATTTCATCACAGGGCTTGTTTTGCAGGCTCACATCAAGAGAATTAACTCATCAGGCAGCTCCAACCAGTTCCACGGGCAGCTCGGGACTGGGCCGCGTGACTGGGGCAGCTCGTGTGACACACCAGCAGCCACCTACGCTCCTGTATTATGTTATTTTTCCAACTTTGCTCACTCAGTTCTGCTTTTTCTCTCAGCCTTACAGGCCAAGAGCAGCCCTACAACCAGTCCTGGGCTTTTCTATGGAGCCTCAGCCATCCTGGGGAAAGGGCTGGTCAGAGGCCTCAGTGGGTCATAAAAAACTGGCAGCAAAGGTCGCCCCCCTTTTCTTTAGGGCACTTCTCCCCCGTCCCTGCTAGGTTGTTCCCTGAGCACTGCTGGGGATCAGGCAGTAGCTAAAGATCCCAGTATCATTCCTATCGCCATCATTAATCCCAATCTTCATTATAATCCCTGTCCCCTCATGGCCCCGGCTCCCTCCCCCTCCCCGGCCGAAATCTGCCCCGCCAGGCGGCTCCCCCTCAGCAACAGCGTGACCTCACCGCGGGCCAATCAGCGCCGAGCAGCGCCGAAGCTTCCAGAGCTTTCCCTGCCCCCGCCGCCCCCGCCCCTCGCTAACTGCCCCCCCAAGCAACCAATCAGCGCCCGCCCTGCGATCCACCCCACCAATCACCGCCGGCTTCCCGGTCTTGCCACCAACGCCTGGCGCAGACCCGCGGCGAAAAACGGTTCCAGATCCATCCGCGCCCTCAGAAATTTGCAGATTTTTTTAGGGTCTGATCCCCCTCACTGAAACTCTGGGACCCCTTTGCCTGCGGAAGAGGGATTTGAGCGGGGAAAAGGCGAGTGCTTTCCAGAACAGGGGTCTTTTCCTGGGGGACTACTTTGGGAGGCGGATGGACACGTTAGTTTTGGTGGGCGGGGCCCAGAAAGCCCAGAGCCCTATAAATAGGGGAGGGTGTGCGTCACTCGGCAGATTCTGGGATTAGCACTACTGGATACTTTGGACGAACTCATCGCTCAGGGCCGCAGACGTGAGTGCGCTGAGGGGAACTGGGGGGTGCAGGGCGGGGGGAGACGGGCTGAGTGCTCCAGGCAGGACCGTACCCAGCGGGGCGGGTGCCGCGGGCTGGTTTGCAGGAGGGTAACGGAGGGAGCAGGCTGCAGAGTTCTGCAGTGTTGCTTAGCGCTCTGAACCGCGGCGGCGAGCGCTGGGGCTGGGAGGGGGGGCCGCAGTCAGGATAATTGTTGTCCGGGGAGGCGGTGCCGTGCTGGGGAAGATGGCGCGGGCCGAGCCGTCCGTGCCGGAAGGCGGCTGTGAGTCACTACCGGGGCGGGGGAGCGGCGGCGCTGCCGCAGGGCGGGTCCGCGGGGCGGGCCGGGCTGGGCCGGGGCTGCCGCATCGCCGCCCCCGAGAGGCTCCGGGGCTCCAGTGCTGCCCTGAGGGGGAAGAATGGCACGGGGGATCGAGGGGCTCCGGTGCCGCATTGCTGCACTGCGGGCATGAAGGAGGAGCAGTCTAGGGATCCTCTAGTGAGTAATCTGTTAATAGAACTCGGCGGACTTCGCGGTAAAACCAGGTTTAGTTAGTCAAATTAGAAAATTACATTTTTATTTCACGTTTTTTCCTACAAACAGAGGAAAAAAATTTTAACTAGTGGGAAATAGTAACCGTAATCCCTTTGTTTAGGATTTACTAAAGGTTTTACTTGGCTAAGTAGCTATAGCTGAAACACCTGTTTGTCTTGCAGGTCAACATGCAGATCTTTGTGAAGACCCTGACTGGCAAGACCATCACCCTTGAGGTCGAGCCCAGTGACACCATTGAAAATGTCAAGGCCAAGATCCAGGATAAGGAGGGCATTCCTCCAGATCAGCAGAGGCTGATCTTTGCTGGCAAGCAGCTGGAAGATGGGCGCACTCTCTCCGATTATAACATCCAGAAAGAATCCACCCTGCANGATCAGCAGAGGCTGATCTTTGCTGGCAAGCAGCTGGAAGATGGGCGCACTCTCTCCGATTATAACATCCAGAAAGAATCCACCCTGCACCTGGTGCTGCGTCTCAGGGGTGGGATGCAGATCTTCGTGAAGACCCTGACTGGCAAGACCATCAC